CAAAACAAGAATGATTTGATAATAATAAATAAGCTGAGAAATCAATGCAATTTTAGCTCAAGAGAAGCTCAATTGAATGTTCCAAAGTTGTTATAATAAATGACAAGTGAGTTAGTATTTATAGAAGTGAAAAATGCCAAATTTTCTTTCAAATCGGATGACCGTCCGGTTGATCGCCTATTTTCCGATGATCAATATAACCATTTATACAAGAAAAATCAAAAGTCAGAACGGTCAAATTTTGGACCGTTGGAGAAGTCCGGACAATCGCTATTTTGGTCGGTTGACCGCACCTGCAGTTTGGCAGTCCTCGTTTTGACGCCGTTTGTTTTGCTTTGAGGGCTTTGAAAAGTATGGTCTTTCGGAGAGCACATTTCACTAACTTTTCAATATAAAAAATATTTTACAAGTCCAAAAGTTATTTTTAAAAGTTATCGTATTCGAATCGCTTTTTAATGCACCAAGTTGTTTTTAATGCATGGAACGGTTTTAAGCTATTGTCATTCATGTCATATATCAAGGTGTTAGTACATTCACATTCTTAGCTAAGAAAACAAGTTTTTGATCTTGCTCTGAAGTTTTGCTATTAATTTCTTGAATGTGGTTTCGATCTTGACTTTCTTTAAGAATCTGATTTGTGATGATAGCTTTTGATCTTTTAACGATCATTGATCAATTTTCTTTTCTACACGCTGAAAGACTAAAATCACTTAAATTCAACACGTTAGTAAATAAGACCAACTTGTTTGTTATAATCAAAACTTCGAGATTTCAAATTAACTATAAGTCAACATATGTGTCTAACATTTTTTTTCTAATATATATCATCAATTTTCTATTATCGGCACATCTTATTCTCAATGACGATTTTTGTTCCAAAAAAAATTATTAGGAGAGCATAAAAAAGTTTTATTTGTCCCTCATATTTCTAAATAAAAAAAAGTAAAAAATTTCAATAAAATGCTAGCACCTCATTGAGAAGCATACTAACAAATACTTGAACAAAAATCGAATCGGGGATGAGACATTCTAATTGAAAGTTAATAAAAATACGACGAATTTTTTTTGGACATTTGTTGTAATTAAATGGGGTGATTCAAACAAAATGTGGTGTAACGAGATTGAGTTAATTGTCTCAATGATTATTGAACTTATGTCTTTATCTTCGATTGCACACTAAAGTTTAAGATGTCAAGTTTTTGCCATTAAACTTATCCAAACGTTGAACGTTATTCACTAAATAACATCAGTTTCAATTTTTTAACGGAATTAGTGATGTTGCTAATGAAAGACACATGTGGCGCCTCGTCACGCCATTAATAAGTTGCTACATCTTTGGTTGCTCACTAAACTTTGAAAAAGGTCTTTAATTGCTCATTAAATTTTGAAAAAGTCTTCGATTTTCCATTAAACTTTGAGATAGTCGTATTTTGATCACTAAACTTATAAAAATGGCATCGACATGTTGTTTGTTCAAAGATACATACCGCAAGCGCACAGGTCACGAAAAAGTAATAAAGTGAACAAATGAGTCCAGATTGTCGATTACACGAAAAATGATTACTCAATTACATAATAATTCAATTTAATTTTAAGTTTTTAACATATTTTTATAGAATTTTTAGCTATTTTCACCATTTGAAATATTCAAATTATCGTGTGTTTCATTGTTAAAATTAAATTAAAATAAAATTTGAATTTTGTAACGAAACACACAATAAATTTAGTTAAATAGATTTTGCAACGAAATAGAAAGTAAATTTAACTAAAATTTGGATTTTTGCATCGAAGCACACAATAAATTTAATTAAATAGATTTTACAACGAAACGGACAATAAATTTAATCAACAAAACATAAAATAACTTTAATTAAATGAATTTTGCAACAAAATAGGAAAAAAATTTAAGGAAAAATTGAAGCAACGATCCCTAACCTTTGAATTTTTAGCAAACTTTACCCTAACTTTCAGTTTGTGCCAACTAAAGTCTCAAATCTTTGAAAATTTAGCAGCTGGAATCCAATTTGACGAAAAACATGAATTCCACGGCCAATTGACTTGAAAAGTGTAAAAATTGGAAATTTTGACCATTTTAACCATTGATATTTTCGTCGATCAAATATTAATAATTAAATTAAAACTAAAAAAAAAAAAAACCTCGCCATGCCCCCAAATCCTTCATCTTCTTCAACACACCTAGATGTGTAAAAATGGGCGGGCCGAGCCGACCCGCAGGTGGAAAAGCCCTGTAACAGCCTGGGGTACAAATAGACCGGCCCATGCAGGTTTCATGGGCCGGTCCGAGCAGGATCGGGTGAGGGAACGGCTGACCCGGCCCGCTGGCACTTTTTTTTTTCAAAAATAAACGGTA